GGGTTCCGACCAGCTGGTCCTGACCGGGTATTTCCATACACTGTGCTGGCACTTCGAACTCGGTACCGTAATCATAGGTCGTAAAGTAAGTCGACTGTCAAACTGGTGAGCAGAGCGGCATCAATGGGACTGGGAGTGCTACCATAGTGATTTCTCGTGAGCGATCGGACAAGAAGAACCAGACGAGGCGAAGAGACTGGGACAGAGGTAGAGAAAGAGAAAAAAGAAGGATAGAGAGAGGTAAGCTATGGGGACGCCAAAGTGGGAGAACAAGTAGACTGGGAACAGGTAAGAGAGGAGAAGATAGAGAAGAAGAGGAGGAGGAGGAGGAGGAGGAGGAGGAAGAGGAGAAGACGGAGAAAAAGAGGAGGAGAAGGAGGAGGCGGGCTGGTTATAAACGCAGGAAACCATGACGCTGGCCGGCACGATAAAGCGTGCTGGTAGAAGGGCCGTCGAAGGGCGCTAGAAGGTCGCTAGTGTCGCGGGCGCGGGTGCGGGCCAAGCACTGGAGCCGGAGAAGCTCACCGGCGCCCCACTGTCGCACCCGCGGACCAACCAGCGTGCGCGTACGACGGCAGCACAGCCAGGATCGACGAATCTCCGCCGGTTCGAGCTGTTGGCAGCTGAGCTAATCAACCGTGATTGGCCGGGCGGTGTCCCCCCGGTTCCCCCAGTCTGTTGCCGACCCACCAATTTCGGCACCTGTTACGATGTGTGTTCTCGTGCGTGTATGGGTTCTTTGGGCCGTATTTGCTTGTATTGGGTATTTTTCAGGTCCGTATTATCGTGTCCTGCCATCCGACTACGGAGGTATTGGGCATGCATCCATTTTCTCTCTTGCCTTGCAGAGTGCGGCGGCTGCAAAAACGCACGTCGAGAGGTACAATACACTACACCCACCGTGCCGTCCCTGATACACACACGGACGCAGCTTAATCAGAAAAATCACGCAGTCCGAGCTTTGACGCAGCCTCATCTTTTCCCGATCCGATCTAGTAGACGACGACTGTTTTGTTTTTTTCAGCTACGCTGCCAGTAACTAATGCCTGCTGAGCAGCTTGTTTAGTAGGTCGCGCTCACTGCGGGATATTACCATGATTGAAGTAGAGGAACTATGACACGGCAGCAATGTTCCGAACACGCAACTCGAAATTTCCGGACAATGATCAGTCTCGGCGCGCCAAGTGGATCGATCGTCGATCGTGACGTTGTGAAGACCAAGACAAAGGAGTGACAATGGCTATTGTTGTTTATTTTATTTATTACCAAAGGACAATGAAAAATGCCATTGGGTCAATTGTGCAAACAGGCAAAAGCCACAGTCAGTAAAAGTCTAAAGCGAACAAACAGACAAAATAGGTAAAAAAAAAAAAAAAATAGAATAGAATAAAATCAAAGAATCGTACTCGCGGGACCTAAATCCATTCTAGCGCGTCCTTATGGAAAGGCTCAGCTGACTCTTTGGCGCTGCGATGGTGATAAGCCAAAACACGTAATCAAGGGCGGGAACCCGTATACGTGACGTGCTGGTAGTCTGTCGATCGTGGTAGAACACAAACAAGTACCCCCAAAAAAAGGGAAAAAGAAAAGAAAAAAAAAATCCCGCAGAAATCATTCCATGAGGCTTTTTGTTTCCCCGTGACGATGGCGCACTGCGATTACTGTTACAACAGACTACTAATAAGCGCTTCAAAGTGAGGCGGGCTCAGCCATCACCAAACAACTTGAAACAGCAGAGGGACAGAAAAGTGCCGGGCCTGAGGCACTTTTCTGCTAGCTCGCTTGGCAGAGCCGCGACGCTGTGTCTTGTCGGCACGACACTGCCGACAACGCACCGCTTGCAGTGCCATTGGCTGGAGTTGGGAGCACTAGGCGGTAGAGTTGCTGGAATCAACCATGGTGCATCATCAACACACGAATCAGCCTTGTGCCTGTCCTCACGGTTTATGCCGCAGTCTCGGCGGATTCTGATGATGCCATACAGTATTGAGTGTAATGTTATTCCCGGAAGTTCCCGTGACTGCCAAGAGAAACGGCCCGCCAAGGGAAGCCTGTCTACGGTGACGTCATCCATACTCCTCCTACTACGGACAGCACGGCTTAATCTCGCTCTCATCTCTCCATTGACTCGGACATGCATCTAACTAGCCTCTGCAAACACCAAGCATAACTCTCTCCCTCTGTCCCTACTATTCCGAATGTCCAGAAGAATCGGAATGATGAGACGGAACAAGAAAAAAAAAAAAAAAAAAAAAAAAAAAAAAAAAAAAA